AATTATTTTTAAAATTATGAGATGTTCTGCTAAGTTGATATCAACCCCCACTAAAGTGCAAAATTTCCAAAATCTTTTTTAATAGGAATTTGCAGTTATTTATCCGTAAATGATTCGCGAAAGAAAAAGTTTAGTTGCTCTTGCTTTAACATTTTTTTTTTTTTAAACAAAATTGTTCTGAATTATTTGAAAAAATTCAACCTTTTGATTTTCGAAAATTTTCGAAATCCCATATTTTTGAAACTGGACGTGGACAAAAAAACTAAAAGGTGGTCAAACGTGGACAAACGATTCCCATATTAAAAATTCGAAATTTTAATTTTACCCGACCCAGCTTCTCTGAGCTGGTAATCGGTTTAAAAACATTTTTAAATTAATTTTTAAGAGGTGGGCAGTCAATATTTATTGGTTTTAAGAGGTGGGCAAACGATTATTTTCATTAATATTTAGTTTTAAAGGGTGGGCAATCATTATTTTTTAGTTTTAAGAGGTGGGCAAACGATGGTTTTTATAAAAATGTATTTTTAAAGGGTGGGCAGTGAATATTTTTTAGTTATAAGGGGTGGGCAAACGATGGTTTTTATATAAAATTAGTTTTAAGGGGTGGGCAGTGAATATTTTTTAGTTTTAAGAGGTGGGCAAACGTTTGTTTTTATAAAAATGTATTTTTAAGGGGTGGGCAGTGAATATTTTTTAGTTTTAAGGGGTGGGCAAACGATTATTTTCATTAATATTTAGTTTTAAGGGGTGGGCAGTGAATATTTTTTAGTTTTAAGAGGTGGGCAAACGTTTGTTTTTATATAAATGTATTTTTAAAGGGTGGGCAGTGAATATTTTTTAGTTTTAAGGGGTGGGCAAACGATGGTTTTTATATAAAATTAGTTTTAAGGGGTGGGCAGTGAATATTTTTTAGTTTTAAGAGGTGGGCAAACGTTTGTTTTTATAAAAATGTATTTTTAAGGGGTGGGCAGTGAATATTTTTTAGTTTTAAGGGGTGGGCAAACGATTATTTTCATTAATATTTAGTTTTAAGGGGTGGGCAGTGAATATTTTTTAGTTTTAAGAGGTGGGCAAACGTTTGTTTTTATATAAATGTATTTTTAAAGGGTGGGCAGTGAATATTTTTTAGTTTTAAGGGGTGGGCAAACGATGGTTTTTATATAAAATTAGTTTTAAGGGGTGGGCAGTGAATATTTTTTAGTTTTAAGAGGTGGGCAAACGTTTGTTTTTATATAAATGTATTTTTAAAGGGTGGGCAGTGAATATTTTTTAGTTTTAAGGGGTGGGCAAACGATGGTTTTTATATAAAATTAGTTTTAAGGGGTGGGCAGTGAATATTTTTTAGTTTTAAGAGGTGGGCAAACGTTTGTTTTTATAAAAATGTATTTTTAAGGGGTGGGCAGTGAATATTTTTTAGTTTTAAGGGGTGGGCAAACGATTATTTTCATTAATATTTAGTTTTAAGGGGGGGTGGGCAGTGAATATTTTTTAGTTTTAAGAGGTGGGCAAACGATAATTTTTATAAAAATGTATTTTTAAAGGGTGGGCAGTCAATATTTTTTAGTTTTAAGAGGTGGGCAAACGTTTTTTTCCAAAAATATTCAGTTTTAAAGGGTGGGCAAACGATTTTTTCTTAAGGAAAAACTTATAATTAAGATAACTTTTGAAGTATAAATTTTTTCAAAATTCTAAAAGGTGGGCAAACGTGGGCAAACGATTCTCTTACGATTAAAAAAAAAAAAAATCGAATTCCAAAATTTGTGACTTTCGAAAATTTTCGAAAATTTTCGAAATTTTATATCTCGAAAACTGGACGTGGGCAAAAAAAACTAATTGGTGGGCAAACATGGGCAAAAGATGGGCAAACGTTTCCGCTATTCAAATTTAAAAAATTTCATTTTTGTCAACCCAGCTTCTTTGAGCTCGTCCGCTGCTCTTTCTTATTATATTTTTTTTTTGGCTACTATTTTTACTATTTTTTTCGCGCTTTAACCTTCCCCATTCGCAACTGAAACAACAACAATGAGAGCCAAAAAAAAAAGAGCTTAAAAAGTGATTTCTCGGTCGTTTTCATAACTTTTGGTGTTTGTCGCAGTTCATTTTGTTGCCTTTTTGGCTTGAAAAGCGATTTCGTAGCACTGTTAAATTGATGGCTCAAGTTAATGAATAGACAGTAGTGGGAGAAAGGAAAAGATATTGGGGATGGTATAGGATGGAATGGATCCTGAGGTGCAACAACAACAAAGGCAGAGGCAAGTTGAAGCCAATTATAAAACTGTCGTCTTCATCTTTAGTTTTTGGCTCCGTGTGTTTGCCGTGTAACCCGAGATGATGGCTGGAAAATATCTATGGGAAACACGAATGGAAAAAAGAAATGCCAGAAAGAAGACCAAAAACTGGTCACAAAATGAGTGCACAGGGAAAAATATTTGAAGGCTCTCTACAAAATAAGAAAAGGAATTCCAAAATATATTTTTGGATATAAATATCAAAGATACGATTACTTTAGCCTTTAAAAATTGTAATATTTACTGTAAAATTTTTCAAAACATGTTTTTAAAAAGAAGATTATATTTTAAATTGCTTTTAACATTTTATGTCTTTAAATAACATTTTCCTAGAATAATGAGTATGGCTCAACTATTTTTTAGAGCAAGCTTAAGATATGGAATATTTTCTAAAGTAAAAATAAATTATTTTTCGTGTAAGAATATTCGCAGGGGGAAGGAGGCAGGGCAACAAGTGCGGAAAGACAAGGCAAAAGTAAAGCAGCTGGACAAACAATTTGCATTTTTTGTCAGATTTCTTCGTCGTGTTCTTTTTATTTCTCAGTCAGGCAAGCAGTTTGACATCGACTGGAGAGTGGGAGGGAAAGAGGGCGGTGGCAAGGGGGCGGGGCACCTGAAGTGGCAGAAACAGATGGCTAAAAACAAAAAAGAAATAAATATGCAAAAAGAACAGCCAGACAGACGGAAGACGATACAAAGCTCACAAACTATTTAGCTAATTCAGCACTTTCCACGCTCAGCTGCAGTTGATATATCCAGCCAACTCCCCGCGATTTCCGCCCAACTCACCCACGGCCCACAGACAAGGTCAGATTGCAAATGAGCGTAAACCTAAATATCGCAAAAGTATTTATACACAAGATCGGAGTGGTTTCCCTTTTTCCAAGCTTGATAAATCGGAGACTTTTGATTGAACTGTGAGTTATTTCCGTCGCTTATATCTACACAGTGAGAAATGTTTGCAGAGCGCAGAAATTAGTTAATATTAAATCAAGGTTTAGAATGAAATTAATCTGCCCTTTATAGATTGATCTAATTTACAATAGGCGGGCCTACAACTCCCTATCTGCGGAGTTCAATTTGCACAACAATTTCAGGCTCCATGGAACGCCCCCGCAAAACCAAAGGCCTCCAAATACAAACAGCAACACAAACAGAGCCTAAGGGACTCATTGTGGTGACTCCACATATGCCCCGAAAAGCCCCACCATAAACTATTCAGACGGACCATGTTGAAAACCCCAGCGCAAATGTGAGGTTATGTGTGTAAGCCCCCGCGCGAAATTCAAATCGGAAATTTGTTGATTCTGTATTTAATATTTGGTTTAGCGGGCACATAATACAATGCAAAATATAATGTTTGGTTCGCCAACCTCGGGGGCAAAGATTTATTGTGCAAACAATTCGGCGCATAAATGAACAAAATGCAAGAATGCACAGTATACAGTGCGTTTCATGAGGCTACTAGTTAAATCGATCGATGGAAATAAAGATAAATATGGTGATCTTGACATATGTTTGGTAAAATATAATGCTGATTAGATATATCGCATTCTTACGTGTCGTTGCAGATTTCAACTCATTCTTCTTTAATCTGAAATATCTTCAAAAGATGCAAGTGAATGGAAAAAAGTGCAATGCACAGTACAAAAATGGGATCAAATAATAACGGAATAAATAAGAACAAGTTTTCCATTTCTTGGAAAGGTTATAGAATAATTTTTGGAAACTTAAATACAAAGCCTGTCTGCAACTGGATATTTTCCTCTACCAAGTTCCTTGCCAACATTTATTTTCCATGAATTATGATATGTCAGAAAACTTATCACTTTTTTTTTGCAATAAAACTCCAGTAAAAGATCACTCAACTCAAGTTCTAGAATCCCGAGTAAAAAGCTCAGTTCACAGTTATGCTTAATGAATCTGGTTCCATTTTCATAATTTTCACACAGAAAGAATACGGCAAAACAAAACCATACGAATTCCAGAAGATCGTGGAAAAGCGTGAAATATTTTCACACTCCAGAAAGAAAGGCTAGATAAGCAGGTTTTTTTTTATTGTTTCAATTCACAGTGGGCACTCTTATGATTGAAACTTTGTGGGAGTAAACTAATTTTAGTTACTTTTATTATATTTAACTTATCATTTTGATAAGGAAAGCCTCGAATCTTTTTCTTCGAAAATCGATAGATCCATTTATTGGGGGCTTTCTGTAGTTAATATTTATTATGTTTGCTTGCCATATTTTGATAAGCGGAAAAATGAGAACACCAAAACAGAAAATCGAAGAAATGCAGCCGATCGATCGTTCGAATTTCGAGTTCAAATTCGAACGCGAGGGTTTCGGTTTCCTTTCGAGTTGCCTTTTGTGCGGCTCTTTCGTATTTCGAAATTCCCACGGCTGTTTGTTTTGTACTTGTTTTCGTCAAAAAAAAAGAAGAGAACCAAACCAAGAACCAAAAGAAGAGGGGAATGCAAAAGAACAAGAAGAAGAAAAACTTACCCGCGTAACAAAAAAAAGAGCAGCTGTCGCAGTAGCAGAGCACGAGCAGCGCTGCAAGCAGCGACGCCGACTGCGGCAGCGACGGCATCTCAATGGCTGTTGTTGCTGTTGTTTTTGGACGACGTCGACGCAGCGACGACGCCGCGGATTTGAGCATTTGTTGTTGTCTTTTGGTATTTCTTGGATTTCCTTCAATGTTTTTGGCCGCCTTCGTCTTCCTTCGTCTTTTCTACTTTTTAGTCTAAGGTCTAGTTTTAATTATGCATCTCTCACATCTTTTTGGCTAAAACATAAAACATAAAGCGAAACATGAAATTTTAAACGTCACTTTTTGAATTTTTGCTTTGTGCCAGCCATTCGCGCACACACAAACACAAGCACACCTGCCACAGGTAAGCCAAAAGAGCGAGAGAGAGAGGGAGCGCGATCAAGAACTAATCGAGAGAGAATGAGAATGCAAAAGCAAAAACCAAAAAAAACCTCTCCCTCTCTCTCTCGCTCTCACTGTTTTTGAACCCTTTTTCTTTTGGGTTTTTAAGACTGGTTTTTAAACTCGTTTTTCACATGCAATTCTCACACACACACACACGCACGCTGGCAAATATTCGTGGCTAAGAAACATTTAATAAGTTTCTGTTAAATAAACAAATGTTTATTTCATTTCATCGGGCCTTTTGCTTTTTTGGCGGCTTTTCTTCACACACAAAACAACATTAATGAAACAGAACAAAAAACCAACAAAAAACGCGATCGGTGGGAAAGAGACGGCGCGCTTACTGCTTTTCTTCTTCTTTCTGGATAACTTTTTGTTGTAGTACTTGTCTCTGCCCCCAGAGAGCGTCAAAGGTAACAACAATTACGTTTTGTCCGGGTCCAGAACGCTCAAAATCACAACAATCAACTAAAACTCGGAGTCCGGCAGTCCAGAAGTCGCACAATCGCAATTCGCAAATCGAAGAAACTGCAATCTCGCGACGAGCAGCCGAGAAACAACCGTTCACCACGCGCGCACAAAACAAACTGCGCTGCCTCTGTCGCAGGCGCTGCTGCGCTGCCGCCGCCGCTGCTTCTTCTTCTTCTGCTTCGGCCTCTGCCTCTGCCGACGACTCGCACAGTGGGGCGGGTGGGCGAAATCGGACGAAGCGAGTGGCGCAACCGCAGAGCCTGCGAAAGTAGGTCGTAACTGAAGGAGAGTGATAATCTAAAATTATACTATTTAAATGTTTTAAGTAAAATAAAGTTAAGAAAAGTTAAACACTAGGAGTGCCAACCTATTTAAACAAAAAGTATTTAATAATAAAATTTAACTTTGAATGCAGAAAATGTAAGTTATATTAATGAATATACGGTATTTAGCAATGTTCATAAGCAATATAAAGATAATCGTTAGTAATATTATAATTAGTTATAAAATTAATTGCATTAAAAATTTAAAAACAAATTAATTTATTTTTATTTATAACTTTTGTGGTTGATATCTTGATCCATCAAAAACACCTTGCCTTTTATTAAAGTCAAGCCAATCATCGACGTCCCACTGTGCAGTTTCCACTCAAAACCAGCACACAGTCACTCAAAATCGCCAACTTCACTCAGCTTTGAGCAGGAGATGGTTGGAGTGGCATTCAATTGTCGTTTGATTGGCGAAGTTTAAAAACGAAACCGATTAATTATGCTGGACGAGTTAAATAAAAATTCAAGTAAATAAAATAAATATAGCAAAATTATTAAAATAACCTAACCAAATTATGATATTTTAATACATTTTAGGGGAAATTACCAAAAAGTCACTTTAATTTCAAGAGGTTTTTAGATGGTTTTTTAATAAAAAATTAAAAGAACCGCCTAAATAATTATTTAAGAATGCTCTAATTGCAGCTCCAGCTGACTTTTGGCCCTCTGGCAGTGGGAAATTCGAGGAGCGTGTTTTAATGGAAAATGCATGTACGAATATGCAAAATAAATAAATTCTGATTACGCTACCCCTTTTTTCACTTTTTTCACTTTTCACCGCCTCTTATTTTGGCGCATACATTTTTTAAGTGTGTTAACAACACATTTTGGCTATTAAACTTGGCGTTTTCTCCGCATTAAAATTAAACACACACAAAATGTATGCAAAATGTAATGCAATTGTAAGTTGTGTGCGTGTTTTTCCCATTTCCACACACACCACACACACACGAGTTGAAGAAGAAGCAGCACAACACGCAGAGAAAGATGCGAAATAAAATGTGCATTTCAAAATGCACTTAAAAATTGTTGTCGTTCCTCTGTGTGTGTGCGTGTGTGTGTTCTGGGCGAGTGTGTGTGCGTGTGTGTCCCGCCAGAGGTCACAGGTCAACTTCGTCGCCTGCCAATTAAAACTTTTTATGCGCTGCGGCGGCTCCACACACAAAACGAGCAGCATAAACAGCCTTTCCAGAGATGACAGTTCCCCAATGTGGGATACCATTTTATTTTTGGTATTGGAAAATGTTTAAAAATTGTAGTCTTTTAGTTTGGTTAGAGAGCGAACTTTAAAGTACTATAATATAGAATATTAGAAAAGATTATAAAGAGACTCTTATTTAAAAAAAGTCAATTCTGGAGATGAAAAATAGTATCGTATAAATATTACCAATTTAATTTGAACCACATATTTCCACTATAGTTTCCAATACTTTTAATTTTAAAATTATAAAACCTTATGACGTGCGTGTCACGCACACATCGCCCGTAAGCACTCACACATACGATGGCAAGCGCATTTTCAAGTAACTTTATTAATGCGATTTCAGTTAATTAACAACACAACAATTACTCGGCCAAGGGGCGGCTAAGGGGGGCGTGGCAGGGGCTAGGACTCGCCAAAAAGAAGAACTTTTTAATCAACAAAATATATATGTTGATATATATAAAATGGAAATGGTTGGCGAAAAGTGCACTTGCTGGCGATTACGGGTAATGCGACCTTAAAAAGCTCAGTTAAAAAATAAAGTTTTATAAAATTTGTAATATTTGCAAATGAAAAAAATGCCCTAAATTAAAATAAATTATAACTAAGATAATCCTATATGATTATAATAATAATAATGCTCTGAAATCATATTGTTCGTCTTATTATGCCAATATTTTCTTTCTGTGAGTCACTTTCCCTTCATTATTTTGCACTCGTTCAAGCAAATAGGCAAAAGTAACTCGAGCATTGTATTTCACTCAATTTTCAGCCACGCCCCCCTTTTGCCCCCACGCATGTGTCGTATTGTTTTGAGTTGGAAATTTGGTCGTTTGCGCAACAAGTTGGCAAAATCCAACCGACGACGAGAATCACAATCTCGACGGCTGTGTGTGGGTGTAGCCGTGTAATAGTGTTTGAGTTACGCTTTCACCACTTTCACTCCTCTGTTTGCCAGGCACACACACTCACACTCACACACAGGGAGACCGACACACACACACGTAGGACAAGCAGGACACACGCAAATCGGAAATCCAGGCAAAAGTTTTCTTTGCCTATCAAATGGCAAAAAAGTGTTGCCTACCTTTGGGAGCTGAAATATCAGACGCCCGGAAAATCAGGAAAAGCGATGAAAACCCATGAAAAGTGCAACTGTAGAGCAAGCGGGAAATGGGCAACGTTTTGAATAGCTGCCAAGGAAATTAGAAAAACAAAAAAGTTGATTAAATAAAACGGGGAAAATGCCATTATAATGCCAAATGATGATGGTGTTTTTCATTCTCTTTCAATTTGTACATAAAAAACGGATAGAGAAGAACAAAATATATTTGTTTGAATATCCAAGGAAAATTATTTAAACTGAGATTTATTTTACCGACGGCATTTATCATTTAACTTTTTAATTTCCCTTTCATTCATGTAAATTATGAGATAAAATGCCTTACCAAATTAAATTAAATAAAATAAATTGAGCATCAAATGCAGTAAATTAAGCAGTCAATAAAAAATATATATGCAAGATCAATGAAGTATAAAGAAGCCATTGGAGATAACATAAACAAGTATTGACATTGCTCAACTAGTGTAATAAGTTGCATAAAGCCAAAAAATGAAATAAAATCACATTTCAATGACCAACTTAATTAAAAGTGAAATAGACAAACTCTAAATTTCCACGTCATTGAGTCTGAAAGTGAAAAACGTGCCTTTTTTTAGCTATTAATTGTAATTGAAATGGCCATCCCAGATGCCCCATCTTCGTATTATTTATTCCTACATTTTCTGTCATTGCAATTTGACTCTTCATTACAAATTCCCCCCAAACTCGGCGACTGGGGAAAAAAATATAAAACTTTATTATGCCTAATTGAGTTAAATGATTAACGGAGCATTTCACTCCCCCATATTTCCATGTGACCTGTGATCCATTCAATTTCCACATGGCCAGTCGATTGGTCAGTCGGACATGGCTTAACACTCAAATTGATTTGAAATGTGCTTAAAAAATTATGCTACACACGGACGCGGCAAAAACAACAAAACAACAGCGAAAACAAAAAATAGAAATCAAAAAGGTGTGGGTGAATTGGAAAATGGGAAATAGAAAATAAGTGCAGAGAAAAAAAACCCATAACTAGTTCGATATCAACGGGAAATTCTTAGCTTTTGTATTTAAAAGTCCTAAAATTAAAATTTTAATTCTGACTTTTGACTTTAAAGAAAATATATATTATAAATATTATATTAAAATAAAATATTCAATCATTTGTTTCCGTGTGGTCATTGTGCAAGCATTTCCAAATGCATTTGGAAAAAAACAAATCACAACCGACCAACCAAGCTTCACCTATTGCCATCCGGAACCCCCCTTTTTTTCTCACCCACATTATTTCACAACCCCCCTTTTAGAACCAGAACCCACGGGGTTTTGGTGTTGACAAGCTCGTTGGCAAATCACACAAAGTATGCAACAAAAACAAACGAATACCTCACCGACAACAACAAAAAAATCGTGAAAAACAACAGAGAAATTGGGAATTGCAATTGCTAACCATTTTTGAATGCCCTTTTATGTTAATTGATCAATTTAAATATATATTTAAGTGACAACATACTATTATTGTATGTTTATTTAAGTTGGGGTATGTCATCTATTCAGTCAAATACGCGAATTCTTAAGTTGCATAACCAGGACATCATTAAAAATAAGAAAATAACTATAGTTTTGAAGCTTTAATTAATGATGTTACTAGTACGTTTTTTGAATAAGAGCCTACTTTTAAAAAAATATCTTAAAAAATAAGTTAACAAATTTAGAATGTACAAAATGAGACGAGGAGACAGAAAGGGCATTATCCTAATCCGGACTAGCAGCTGTCAAATTTATTTGCGCACGAAAATCCATCTGCTTGGACCACGGACCGCAACTGCAACCACGTAAACCCCCTCTCCAGCCCCTTTCCACCCAAATGGGCCGCGGGCGCCCCTGGAAAATCAGGGGGTTGGGCTGGAGAAATAGAAGCGCAACAAGTTCCTGCAGTAGTCATTTCAATCCAATTCCTTTTATTGTTGTTGCTGTTTGTTCTTCGGCATTTGCAACTTTTGACCCCTCTTTCGTGTTGCCAATCAACACCTACCCCCCCTTGGCCTCTACCGCCGCCCATGGCCATGCCATTTTGACAGGGATATAAGCCAGGACTTTGCGTTATTGGCATTCGCCGTGGCTGTGGACGGAAACTTCAGGACTTGAGGATGCAGATGGAAATGACGATGACGATGGCGATGGAGATGGAGATGTTGAATGGACACACGACTGCGGATGCGGATTTGCGGACATGGACTGTCGATACGGGACACGAACACTTTTGGCTAATCGAATTTAAATTTCAGTCAAATGAAGCGCATCAGGCGAATGCACTTAACACTTGGAGAACAGTTTTAAAGGGCCATTCAATAATATTATAATAATATAATATTTTAACAGAAGTTGGAGATATAGTTTTTTAATTATAATTATAATAAAAATTAATTAAAAATTAGACCAAAATTCTGCAAAAATTATACCTACTTATTAACAATTGTTTTCTTAGAATAAAACCTTAAAGAAATTAAGCATTTAAATTATACATTATTTTCTCCCAGTGTTAAGTGGGCGTGGCACTCACACGTGTGAGAGTGTTTGTATATGGCAGCTTATTTAATCAAACATCCTCTTTGTGTGACTAATGCGACATTGAGTGAGCGAATCAGCGGAATACGAAGGGAAGGGGTTGTTGGTTATTGGTTATCCTGGAGATGGAGCTCCAGGAGTTGATAGACTTTGGTTTGTGCATCGCAAGTGATGGGCGTGGCAGCGCCCGGTGGGCGTAATTGTCGAAAACTGAGGTGTCAATGGCATATTGCATATACACATATCCATTGCAAAGCCGTTGGCTGTCATTACCTGAATGTCTAGCATTGTTAATCTGACACTTTATCGATTAACGAAATTACAACGCAGCTTGCTTGAGGGGGTGGTTTTGAAGGGGTGGCAAAGGGGGAGCCGAATTACAAGGTAACTAACTCACCGCTTAAGTTGTCAAAAGCTGCTCCACATGGGGAATTTGTCGATAATCTCTCAATTAGTTGCGGATTATTGGAGGCTTTGTCGAGAAAAATCAGCTTCTTTATGTGCAATATGTGTACAATTTAATTATATATATCGTAAATTCATTTATTTACAATTATTTTCAATGCCTGCCAGCTTGCACAATTTAATTAAGTTGCCTCGCATTGAAAGTCACAGCGCCAGTGAAAAAATTAATTTATGAACAGAAAAGATAAGGCTACTATGCAACATTTTTTGGTAAAAAATAAGTATTTTAAATTAAAAATACTTAAAAAATTACAAATAATTTATTTACTAACTAAAAGATTTTTTTAATTCTATATATTCTTTTTATTAATATTAAATTTCATTCCCTTCTTTATGATAACTTGCGATTCTTTTAATAAGGAATATTTTTAAAATCATTATACATACATATATAAAAAGTGATAATTAAATTTAAGAAATGTTCTTTCGATACTTACCCAGAACTTGTGTTTCTTTTCGATTAACTCTCCCTCAGGTTCTCATTTTCCCCTCTATAAGTATGTAATTTCCCTTGAATGGCGAGTGGGTGGAGGAGCGGTTTTGCGGTTTCGCCGAGGCGCCTGCTGCATTGCGACAAGTTGGAGCTTCTATCAACTGGTGTCCAATTTGTTATGGACAGGTAAAAATGGCAATGCGCGATGCCGTAAATCAGGAGTGCCTCCTGCTCCGCCAGCACCTCCTGGCGGGGATTCTCAGGGGAAATGTCCTGGTCAGGGGCAGACTCACTTGGCAGACTGCTTGGCCAGCAGCAAATAGCAAATAGCAACGGCAAAGGCAGCAGCATTGTTGCGGATTGTGGCATTGTCTTGCGGCATGCAACTCGCACAGTGGTGCTAAATTTATGGGATTAATAAAAATATTAAAGTTATTTTAATATGAAATATTTTTTTTTACTAAGAAATTATATCTTTTATTTTAGAAATTATTATTTAAATACAATTATATTGTATATTACCCATTTTCTATGAACATGGTCACTGTACACTCATGCCAACGGCATATATAAAATTCTCTTTCTGTTTTTACCCAAAAATTCGTTAAACAGTGGGCTTTTCTTACTTTTAAGTGAAAATATAAAACACTATACTTTAAAAGTATTAACAAATATATATTTTGTAATTTTGCTGATTAAAAATATATCTATTCTGTAATTCCCCTCATAAGTTTTCATATTTAATTGACAGATACCTGTCTTTCAAAGCCCATATCATGATCAATGAGATATCATATCACAAATAGTGATTTTTTCGGAATATTACCATTTGTCTCCAGGGTTCTCGCCCTCCGTTGGCGATTGTCATTGTAACCGTCTGTCAATTATGTTTCGCATGCAGTTGAAAACGTTGCATTTCCGACGCCGCCGTTGCTACTGGCCAATGTCGAGTGGCGACGTGGCCGAGAACAAAAGACGGTCAAAACAAAAGGCACTGAAGGGGGAGGGGGGATTGAACCTCCCCTTTAGGGAGGGGGTTCTTCTGGAGGGAGTCAGGTGGATATGGCAGGCTTTAGCCCGGTCTGGTCTTCGGTCTGAGCCCAGGCATCCGGAAGTTTGCGCTGACATTCATTACCATAATTCACAACAGCTTAAAACATTTATGTGGCTGCCGCCCCGAGCTCTCACAGACAGCCCCAAGCCCCCTCCCCCTTGAGCTGCACCCCCCCCATTTGGGGGCGCCCATGCTGCAGTCTGTTGTTTGCGTTTGGATTATGTGCAGGAGCATGCAAAAAGGGATAATAAGGAAAACTTGAAAATTTGTTGCAATTATTTTAACTGCTTGGAAATTGCCGTCACCCCATCTGCATTCACCATTCTCCATTCACCGCCCTGCACTCTCCACAACTTACAACTTATTTCTGGGGCCCACGTGCCAAGACCCCAAAAGTCCTTTTCAAAATGTTACTCTACACAGCTCGATAACTGATTTGAGATTTTCAGGTAAATAAAAAATTATCCGAACCTTTTTCCAAATAGAAAGAGTCCAGGTTCGATTCCCACTGCAGTCTCAAATAAATTTCTCTAACCAAAATTCTAAAAAAAAAAATCTAAAAGGGGCTGAAAAGGGTCCAGGTTCGAAACCCACTTTTGTCCTATCATTTTTTCTAATTTTTCTAATTATAGTTATTTTGTTATTTAATTTTTTAATTTTGAAATATTATAATTACACATTTAAATCAAATTGTTTGCTGTGTATTTTAGATGCCCACACATGTGCTTGTGCAGCTAATGTATGGTGGCCGTTCCCTTTCAAGGACGATGGAAAAAGCGGCAGTCTTGCAGTGCTGGCCAAGCGAAAAATGAGGAAATAAACTTGGTTTTGATAAGGGCCAGCAATGCCTGGACTAAGAGAGAGTGCAGCCAGCAAATGGGGGAAAACTTTTCCTAATATGATTGCAATTTTATCACAAACAATTTACGGTTCTTAATTAACTTATGATGGACACACCAAATGCTACAAAATAATTTGAAACTTTTTGGCCAATCAACTCTTCATTGAAATAGCTGCCTTTTGCTGGCTTTGTTCATTGTTATCGACTGTCCGTTTTCTATTCATTCAGATTCGGTGCCTTGCGCCAAGCACATTTTATATAACCTTTTCATTTTTTCCTTAAAAGCAAAACAAAACCAGGTAAGTTCATTGTTTCTACTTGAGTAACAATTGATAGCGAGTAATACCGAACTAACTATCCTACACAGAATGGCCAATTTTTTAAAGACCGAAGATCAGGTGAAGATCAGTGAGATTGTCGAAAAATTGGTCAATCAAAATTCCAAACGCTATACCAACGATGATGACTACTTTAACATACCGTGCTGTTCCCGCGACGTGTTGCTCAGTTGCCCGGAATTGTCCGGCATTCGGGCGGTTTCCGACTTTGAATCGTTGGTCCCTCGAGCCGGATCATCGCACATTTACCGCACGGGCCAGCTATTGACCATCGGACGTCGCGTGGCCAGTCGCATGGTGGATCCGAGTGGCCAACGTGAGATGCTTAACAATCGCTATCAACTGGACGAGCGCCTTCGATCGGCTGGAATCTATCACAATCGCCTGGGCAATCCATATGGCCTTTCGTCTGAGATTGAAGAGGGTGGACATGGAGACACTGATCCCGGCAAACCCAATACATCCATGGGATCCGCGGCCCATTAACTAATTTTAACATTGGAGCCTGAAAAAATTAAGACTGTACATATTTTAACTTTACGTTGAGAGGCAATACCCTTCATTAAATACGATTTAAATCGATGGTCTGTAAACACACTTTTTTTCTTGTTAATTTCTAAAGGCATTAAAACACTTTGAATACATTCTGAGTGAGGATAACCCCTAGAGAGCAGGTCATTACAGACCGTAAACCGAACTTAGTCCCGAAAATCATTAGAAAAGTAGCTGCCTGTGATGTATGTACGTGACTGGATACTCTTAATTATGGTTATGGAAATGGAAATGCCGTGTGGATCTTGGCTAAATGGAAACTAAGCCAATGACAGATGCTGTCGCTCTGGCTGTCTCAACTGTCTCTCCGTTTTCATTCTACGAAACGGAACAGAAGCCCCGCAATTCCCCCGGCGAGAATCTCCGTGTGTCCGTGTTTTTATGGCCACAGATTTATGAGCAGCTAATTTACTAAGCTAATTTGTTGAAATTTAAATACACTTGCAGCTGCCGGAGGCTGTGACAGCCAGCTTGTGACACTTTTCAGAGTGAGATGTGAATGTGATGTGGATGGTGGGTGGTGGACGTGGACGTGGGCGGTGGACTGGTTCCACTTTTGCCACTTTAGCCTGTCCCCCTTATGTTGACGTTACTTCGCACGCACCACACAATTCCATATGCAAATGCCCGGGAAAATGGGGAACCACCTGCAGAGCTTATCTGCGGTCCGAGTCGACCAGCTGCACACAAAAAATCTGTTGGAGAAAGGGAAAAATATATGAATTTATATTTATTTTATATATTTTGTATCCATAAAAATAGTTTAAAATAATTTTAGTCACGGAAATTAACCATGAATAAAATAAGCTACCAATTTACTGACTGTTTTACTTTAGAGAATTAATTATGTGAATTTTATTTAAGTTTTATAAGCTTATACAAAGTACTCTAAAAAATAAGTTGGGAATTATAGCAGTCAAGCGTGAGGAAACAAATATTTTTTTAATTCACTAAAATTTACATTTACAATTTTTATTCGTTTGTTTGTTTTGAGTGTACCCACCAAAAATGCAAGCCACGATTCACATTCACGTACCGTTGGAGTCATCCGTTCATTGTCCTTTGAAAAGTCGCTTATCACTAACTCAGCACTTCCAGGAATTTATTTTCACCAGTCATCACTGTTGGAAACCACATATAAAGGGTTTATTATATATGTGAGGTTCCTAAGTTTAAAAAATCACGTCCTTGTGTTGATATTCCTTGGGATTTCTGAGGACCAAGCCTTGGGCCATTAGGATACCGAATACCAATTAAGGGATTTTATGATGGGATCATGTTTCAATTAAAAAACTGGGTGTTTTTTCTTACAACCTGGCTAATTTATTCCCCCACTTTATTGGGTCTTAAGCACCTGCAACGATACAGTTTGCCTTTCATTTCACTCATGCATATGTAAAACTATATTCCTGATCAATTTAGTAGCACGCTCCCATGTCCATGAGCATAATGAAAATGTTTGCAAATCGCATACGAAGAGCAGCAGTCGAGGGGGGTTGAGGGCTTGAGGGGTTAAGGGGTCGCTATGCCCATGGGCGTAGCCTTCTGCATAGCGGTATGCCAAGGGGTTAGGGGGGCCGGGGCCCGAGGGGAATTACGGGGCGAACAATTGTTACACGTATTCATTTCAAGCGTTTTATGCGTTGCTTGGCTTTTCTTTTTACACTCAAAGAAATGCGCATGGTATTTTCACCACAAAATGGTAAGCTTTTAACATTAATTAAAAATTTTTAGTTTACAATTAATTACAACACTTATTTTATTCTAGAAATTTTCTGCACAAGCCAGGCCCTTATAATTCCCAACTTTTTATTACTAGTATAAAAGGTATAACTTAAATCAAGTTAGAGTTTGTTCAGGTTCAAGATACCATCTTCACATTTACACAACTATTAAATTGTTATCTTAACTGTTGTTTTTCTTTTTCTAGTGTGTTGGGATTTGTTTTCACTGTGTGTCCTGTCCACCGGCCTGACACAGTTTTTGTAGCCACATTGGCTTGGGCCCAGTAGCCTCGCCCCCACCCACACCCTACTTTTCCGCCCTTCCCTGACTTCACTGTACCACTGCTCAACTGGCTGCCGTGGCGTGCCTGTGCGCTGACAGTAAATGCTGAAAATTGAGTGCAACTTGTCGTAACTTTATTTTCAAATATATGCGGAAAGGACTAACCAGACAATGCACAACACACTCACATCCTTGCACTCGTACTCCGCATAGCCGCACTCAATGAGAAATGTGTGGCGGCGCGCATTTAACATGTAAAATTCAGGCGACGAGGGTGATGCAACCAAGAAGTTCTTTAAGTTAACAATTTCTAAAAAAAAAAAAAATTCTTTTGTAGGTTGTCTGAGGCGTTGAAATTTTTTGGCTAAAATATTTGAAATATGGTTTCATTAGGTCTAGGTATATTTCTTAAAGACATATGGATTGGAATTTCATAAGAATCCATAAGATATTGCTAATATCATTTTTGAAACCTTTGTCGCCTGTCGCACATTCATATGTGTGTGCTAAGTGTTTTGCAACAAAGTTTTTGCGTGCTTTTGTCTGCCGACTGCCGACTACCGACTGCCACCTCCTGGTACTTCGTCCTGCCATCCTGAGCTTCTCCGGGTTCCCCATCCGCTGCGATTCCTGGGCCACGAGCCATCACTCCCGGTCTCCGGCTCTCTGGCTCCGGTGTGCGAGTCCGGGTGTACGGATACGGCTATAGTTTCTGCCCGGCTCCATTGCCATCTCCATGGGCACAGAGAAAGAAAAATTGATATGATTTGATATGATATCATGATCAATATGATGATTTTACACATCTTTTTGGAACATAATATTTTGGAGAATATAAATTTAATATATTTTACCTCAAATGTTCGGAATTCTTTAGGTATCCTGAGAGGGTATGTCTATATTTTAGATAACTTTCATTCAAATATAGTTTTGAGAAATGTATGTACAAATATATTTTCTACCTGTGCACTCCTCCGTTTACGGCACTCCATTCTCGGTCTCGGTCTCGTCTGCATAAGCTATGTGGTTGTCTCCTTTCAGGCTCAGAACCTTCGTCCTCCGTCTCGCTTTCTGCGGTAAATTTAACGAATATGCAAGTTCTGGGCAGCTCCTCTTGTTCATTTCGGGTCATAAGTTCGCTGTGGAATTGTTTAACCCTTTAAGGTTCTCTTTATGGCAAGAACTAATATTTAGAATAAAATAAGAGGAACTTCCCTTCCTTTTCTTCAAAAAAAAAAAACAAACATTTCGAAATTTTTGCTATAATTCCCAAGTCATTTTTCCGACTCCGTAATCAACGAGCAACGGGTTAAACATACGACTTTGTGGGCAGGACACACACCCAAAACCGACGATCAACTTTGACTTCTGGGCTTTAACTTGCCCACACTTTACCGACCGGCCACGCCCCCAAAGACACACTACTTCCCCGCCTACCGCCCACCGGGCACGCCCACACACTCGACAAATCAATTGGCAATCAATGGACGCTGTCCGTTGGCTGTGGTAGTCAATAAATTGCAAGAATTTCCTCATCGTCTTCTTCTTATTCGCGTTAAGTGGCCATAAAAGCGAGAAAAAGAAGACAACGTACCAGGTTCACCGTTGCATTTACCGTTATGCACCCAGGGGATATTGAGTTTTTCTTCTGTGTTGCACTTTCCTTTGAGTTTCTACGAAAAATGTTCTATTTGCAATTAAAGCGTTATCGGTATTATTTTTTTTTCTCACCTCCCCAACATCCCAACAAAATGTTGTGTCAAATCGAGCATTTAATGGATTTCCTTACGCTTTCTGGCCAGATTTCGTTACCTTTGCCCTGCTGCCAAAAGACTGATGATATTTCGCCCCACTCGCAAACAATGTTGGAAGTGTCGGAAGCAGTGCTCCGAAACCATCCCGAAGGTAGAAATAAAAAACAAAAAAAGTGGGCATCCAGTGAAGGTAGAAAGGACTTCTTTGAGTTTGCATTTCTTTGCCCGGCCAACCAATTTGAATATTATGCCAACAAAGAAAGTAAAAAACCGGAAAACGTTAGAGGGAACGAGGCTGTTAGCAGGAAAACTATTCAAAACGAAGTGGGATGCTCTTGCAAATAGGTTTTCTGATCGAATTCAGCCTTCGATTATAATATTTCGGATATTTTAGGTAACCGTCTGAAAAAAACAATATCACATATTTTTCATAATATTTTTACAAAATAGGAACACAATTAAAAATTCAAAAAAATAACTTAGCAAAAGGATACAAATACAAAATAAATAAAAACCTCAGTTTTTTATTCTATAGTTTTTTGGGAAAGGATTTCTTACAACATCCTTATTCACTGTAAGCTAAATAATCGAGCAAGTTGATTTTTCAAAGGAGCTTAGAGCCAAGAATGCGGACCACTTGGAGAGGAATTTTGGGCAAAATTTCAACGAAATGTCTAAGGACATTTTGATGGCCGAGAATACCCTTTCACACACACACACACAAACACAGAATTTACCCACACAGATGCACGCATTGTGTGTACGGACAGCGACAGCCGACAGCTCAATTCTCAGCTGGAATAGCTGGAAAATGCAGAAAGGGCAAAATGGGGGGCAAAAACACATCTCTTTTGAAACCCAATGCGCCTTTGGCCTTTGATAGTTCAAACCTGAGTGGGAAAAAATTGAGCCAAAAATTGTAATAGAAATTTTTGTGCTGCACACACACCACAAATGGCAAATATCGACAAGTGATGGAAGTTTCCCCTTTCGCAAAACCCTGCGGCCCACTATATTGTATGAAGTTTTCCTACCAATTGCCCAATTGCGTATGGGCGTAAGAATATTTTAAATTGCCATTGTCGATGGTCTCGATTGGCACATCACATTGGCATTCCAGTAAATTAAAGCAGATAATTCTTTATGCCTCCCTTGCAAATGAAAATAAATGCCTATTTGCAGTATATTTTCTGATAAATGCCATGCAAATTAAAATATGGTATTACACGTGTTTACACGACTACTAATCATGCAGTTCACTAGGCGCACAAACTGCACAACAAATGTATATTGAACAACAGTCGATACAATTAGGGCAACACTCGAAAAAATAAAGTGTGTTGTGTATCATGGAAATAAGAGCTTGAAAACGTATCGACTGTTAGCTATTTCTCGATATTTAACCTGTGTTGTCTTCCCAATATATCGAAATTATCGATTAAATATTTTCGAAATCTAATGGGAATAACAATTATTTTTACACTTCCGTGTATACTCAAAATCTTTATGAACCATAATCCTTCGAAAACAAATACCGCCCATGCAAATCCGCGTGCTTTCATTATTATTATTGTGGTAATACAATACTTTACAGCAGAAGAACACGGCACACAAAGGAAAAACAATATGTCCGGCGGATCTAATTAAAATCTTAATTTAACGCAAATAAAAGAGTGGCGAGGCGATCGGGTGACAACTGTTGCATTGAGTGTTGCCCCGCCGCTCGCTGTAAAAATAACAGACATCGGCATGGACACACTGACACACTGCGACACGTTTGTGCCTGTGCTTGTGCTAATGGCAATACAATTAATTTGCATTAATAATTGAGTCAACGCTTCAAATTAAAATGTATTTCAATTTGAGGCATACGGCATACGGCGACGGCAGAAGGCCCTGAGTTGTTTTGAATTTCCATGTGCAAATATTTAACTCAATTATTAGCCCAATGAGCACTGATATCTCCGATTTAATTGTTTACCCAGCGCACACACACTTATTTACACACTGGCTGCTGCCGGCCAATAAATACGAAAATCAACTCGTTTTCACATTGTCGGCCGAGGCCATAAATACCATATATAAGTATTTTTTAAACTAATTACCAGGACCATAAAATGTATGAGTATGTTTGTGTTGATGAAGCACGACGACGCCTGCAAGTCTGAACATGTCTGGCTTCCTTTGGCTTTTTTGCTGCAAATTATTATTATTAAAGTTTACATTTGATTTGCTTGTGCATTCGGTTGCGGCCATATAACTCAAATTAATTTCAATTTGCCGTAAATTATTTGACGCATTCGCAAAGCCATGTAATTTATGCAGCATTTAATTGCAAAACTTTAACCGCAAACTAAGCGTAAGGTAAACAAATCATCGAATTTATATTTTCCATGTCCGTGATCAGGAATGTTTTCCATTTTCTCTTGCGTGTTGGAAATTAGTGCATATAATCTATTATAGACCTTTCGAATTGGGGAATTTGAGAGGGGGAGTTCGAAAACTCCGTTGTCCTTTTTCGACAAATATGTACTGTGATTTTTAGCTAGATACACAAGAATATTTGATTTACACTTAAAAATTTAAATAGATTTCGGAAAAGTTGCGCAGTAAATTCTAAAAAATTTTAAATTATAATTTATTCCTTGACTCAATCTGTATGCCATCTAAATGAGTTTAAAATCATTTAACAACACAAATACCAATTGTAGTTCTCAGAATACTAAACTCAATTATTGAACCATTATCCTTTAATTGATCAACAGGCAGAGCTTTGTTTTCTTCGAAAGCCAGAGTTATGTTAGGGTATTGTTCTAGCAAATCCAATGAAATTCTTTGTTCTCATTGGCCGACTAGATTAAATCTCAACTTAAGAACACGCGTCCATGGCGCAAATACGCAATCACATTGTTTGCAGATTAAGATATATTGAATGAACATACATTTGGCACAAGTAGACCGGCATTCCTAATAAATAATTAAAGCTCGGTGCGGCCCGGGCGCCTTTTGTACATCAAAATGCCAAGATGTTAAGAAGACGACGAAGGGAGTTATGGAAACCACACATTCGTCAAATCCGAATCGCTGGCTGAATGTAAGAATATATTGTCTGTATGTTTGGCATTTTACGAGTATCTTGGCTGAAGGACTCCCCAGGCACAATGGTACTTACATTTGCCACTTGATTTGCGAACTTGTCTTTGATGTCGAACGCCGGTGAACTTTGAGGCCTGCCCCTGAAAATCCTTTTGGCATTTAATTGAATTAATTTCACATCAGCCATCGGGGATTATTCATATGTGCACTGGGGGAAAAAAAGAAAGAACTTTTTAGAATTTATCAAATCACTTATAAATATTTCTAAAAGTATTATTTATTATTTTGTTATCTTTTCAAAACAGTATTTATTTTTTGCGTAAGACCATTTTTGGCCAAGTTACAGCAAAAAAACAAAAAGGTAAAATTCATATTTTTACCAAAAACCCAGATCGAAATTCTTTTTTTGACCGTAACAATGGAAATATTAATCCAAATATGGATTGTTATACCTTTCTGAACTCGTTCTTAAATTTCCAATCAATTGGCATTTAAACCTGGACATTTTATTTGTTTGCCATTTTTCATAAAAATTTATGATGTAAAAAAAAATTTTACTGGTGATATCAGTACAAAATTCTAGATCCACCACTGAATGAAATAAAATTTTTTCTCCGTGTAGCCATGGGAACATTCCTACGGCTTAGCTCTAAGGGCTAAATATTTCAGCAAGCCAATGTTGGCAGGTGTCTGCAATTACCTCAAATTCAATTAAGTAATTATGAGGTCAGCACGGCCTGGCTGGCTCATGACAATTTAATGGTGGAGTCCTGCAGCCCCCTGGGTGAGTCCTATAAAAGGATAAGGCCCAGTGGATCCGGGGATTAAACCGCATCGTCATGCTGTTCCGCAAACGTAAGCCGAAGTCTGATGATGAGGTGGTCTCCTTTGACGACCTCACCCGATTCCCGATGACCTTCTACAAGACCATCGGCGAGGATCTGTACTCGGACCGGGATCCCAATGTGATAAGGCGCTATCTGCTGCGATTCTATCTGGTGCTCGGGTTCCTCAACTTCAATGCGTATGTGGTGGGCGAAATCGCGTACTTCATAGTGCACATCATGTCGACGACAACTCTCTTGGAGGCCACCGCCGTAGCGCCGTGCATTGGCTTCAGTTTCATGGCCGACTTCAAGCAATTTGGACTGACGGTGAATCGGAAGCGTTTGGTGAAGCTACTCGATGATTTGAAGGAGATATATCCTATCGATCCGGAGTCGCAAGCGAAGTACCATGTGCCGTATTATAGGAAGCACATGAACAGGGTCATGACTTTGTTCACCATCCTCTGCATGACCTACACCTCGTCGTTCAGCTTTTATCCGGCCATCAAGTCCACCATTAAGTACTACCTCATGGGTTCGGAGATCTTTGAACGCAACTACGGCTTTCACATCCTATTTCCGTATGACGCCGAAACGGATCTCACGGTCTACTGGTTCTCCTACTGGGGATTGGCTCATTGTGCCTATGTGGCTGGGGTCTCCTACGTCTGCGTGGATCTCCTGCTAATCACGACCATAACCCAGCTGACTATGCACTTCAACTTTATAGCCGACGATCTGGAGGCTTACGATGGCGGCGATCATACGGATGAGGAAAATATCAAATATCTCCACGATTTGGTCGTCTATCATGCCAGAGCTTTGGAGTAGGTCAAATATTGTTTTTATATCTCTAGAGGTTATTTCGAAAAATTTTAATTCCCAAATAATCTCTTCATACAAAAAAAAAGCATATAAATTTCTGGCTATGCAATATCGTTTTAACATGACATACTCATTACGAGCATATCGAATTTACGGGGCCGCATATAAAGTTAAAATTGATATTAGTTTTGGGTGTAGAGATTTATGTTACCTTATCAAATATTTCTTATAACCTACTCACCTATTTTTTTTCAGCCTTAGCGAGGAGGTGAACAACATATTTAGCTTCCTGATCCTATGGAACTTTATTGCCGCCTCGTTGGTCATTTGCTTCGCTGGCTTTCAGATAACAGCCTCCAATGTCGAGGATATTGTGCTGTACTTTATCTTTTTCTCAGCCTCATTGGTTCAGGTTTTTGTGGTCTGCTATTACGGTGATGAAATGATCTCCTCGGTGAGTTTTCTAAAATGTTTAATTTATATATATTTTTTATTTATATATTTATATATTTTAGAGCTCACGGATAGGCCATTCGGCCTTCAATCAAAACTGGCTGCCCTGCAGCACCAAATATAAACGCATACTGAAATTTATTATTGCGCGCAGTCATAAGCCCGCCTCTATAAGACCGCCCACCTTTCCACCCATCTCTTTCAACACCTTCATGAAGGTAATCAGCATGTCATATCAGTTTTTTGCACTCCTCCGCACAACTTACTATGGTTAACCAGGAGTATTGAATTAACACCTGAGAACATGAGAATTTAAGCCACAATAAAGAATGTATTTGTAGTTGAAAATAACTTAATTCCCATCTAAGATAAATATTTATTTTCATAAGATGTACTTTGCTTACTTTCATGATTATAAGCCGATGGATATGCATTTTAAGAATAATACGTTTTAATCCGAGATTGTGGAAATCTGGAACCCTTTTTCGCCCACATTTGCATTTTAAAGAGCTGGCTGGCAACGAAGCTTAATTTGCATGTGCATGTGGTCCTGCACCTGAGGCAGCTGTCATTTTGTTGCTGTAATTTTTAATTGCATATCAGCAATTTATAAATATTTACATCCCAGCTGCACACTCACATTCGACTGCATTTCTCGCTCTCTCTCTCTCTGGCCAAATAAATCAATAAATGTCAAAAGCAATCAAAGCCCATAAAATGTGTGATTGCCTCGCCGTTTTGGCACTTTAAAGTGGGTAGTGTGATAATGATGACCATTTGATATCCGAACCGAAAGCCGTTTATTTATGTTTGATAGCCTTTGACAGGTGATGCCAACAAGGATATTATTGGGATCCTTGGATGGATGCAGCCTCAAGGGTTGGCAAATGGCACTGGCAGCTCAGATTATTATTCGATTTTCAGAAAAGCATGTAAAAAGATTTAAGGTTGTGCGCCAGTTGCATACCCAATGTCTTATTTTATATATATCGAGTCATCATAAAAAATAACCAACTGTTGTATTATTTGATTTTTAATACCCCAATTAAAATGTTTTGTGTTGCAAGGAGCATATTAACTTCATTATTCCATTGTTTAACTCTGGCCTCTTCTGTATTATTGTTATTCTGGTTGGCCGTCCATTGTTTGTTTATTGTTTGTAATGAGCTTTGGCGAATGGAACTGCCCGGGAGCTCTTTATTGATTGAAAGAATCCTGAACTACACTACTCTGCTCGTTCTGTTCGAACAGAATCAACAACAACTTACCGATTTCATGTCCTTGACAGCTTCACGTGCTTATAAAAACAGATACGTGTTCATTTGTTTTGCCCATATGCATGTACATATATCAGTTTAAGTTTTTCACTGTCATTACCATCTTGTTGGTTTTCAATTAAGCAGCAAATATGCACAAAGAAAAATATTTTTTGAAGGCATTTCAATTGCAATTCGGTAAAGACCGCCCGGGGGCGCCAATTATCGAAATCGTTGAAATTGATGAATTTATGTTGGCCAGGGCATTACTTCAAATCTGAATAGATTACATTGTTTTCACAATTTTTTTTCGTGCAATTCAACCTTGCATAAAAATAATAATTTTGATGGTACATTCACTTGACTCCCCATTTGGTGCGCACATAAGAACCGAAAAACGTCTTGACATCCTATTATGTTTCGGTCATCCTGCCATTTTATTTTATACTTGCCACCTGAATCTCGTAGCTTCAGCCACTTTTAGGATTGTCAGCTAGTTAATGCTGTTTTTGTGGCCTGTTGTGGGTTGTTCGGTGGCTGCAACTTTGCTGCATGGAAGCCACAAAAGACACATCCCCATCCACACACACATGGCGAACTTCTCCCAAATGTGCCACTAATTTGTGGGCATGTGGAAATGTTTCCTTTGCCCCGGCTTTTTATGGCCATTTTCCTTCGAAAGGAGAGCAGGAGGATAAAAAAGGGATGAGGTGGCAGGGGGGAGGTGGAGAAAGCCGTGTTAGCTGCAGGTAAGCACGTGCCAGTTGCCAGTTATTAACAATTCGGTTGGCCTGGCACAATGTTGCCCCACACATACACAGTAGTGCGGTACAGTTGCGTTCGGCATTTTTTAGTTGCTGCTGTCAAGCGCTCACCTGACCTGCACATGCTTGTCGGACCGGAATGCAACTCTGCTGTCGGTTCTCCTGACCCAACCTAATTGACAATCATACGGAAGTTGTTATGCTTAAGGCAAAGTCGAAACCAAGGAAGATGCTACTTAGAAACCTCAATGTATTTGGTACAAGGACTCAACGTACATTTCCAGGTGCAGTAATGAAACAATCACTAGTTTGGCATTGATTGGCGCCAATTAAAGTCTCAGCTTCAATTATAATTTATTGAGCCGTAATTAGACTGAAATTATACCAATTATCTTCCATCATTTTAATATCTAAAATAAACTGATTTTGCTTCGATGCTCATTTTCACTCACACCATTTGGTCGATCCCTGCCTCCTTCGAAGCAGGTCTTTTGCTTCCCAAATATGATGTAGTGCGCTACCTTTCTCCACCCAGTTTTCAATACTACCAGCACACACACTCACACATCCGAAACCTGTATTACATTTTGCGCATTTGAACAGCCAAAAATGCCGTGGAAAGTGGGTGAAAGTAATATGCATAATGTAAGTAGTTACACAGGTAAGTAGGTAACTATATGTACACATAGGTGGCTGTGGGGCTGTTGTTACTGGTGGTTTGGGGTTGTATAAGTACCTTTAATAACTTTACTTACACGATGCTCGTTTATTGAAATTCCCCACCCGAGGGTGGCACGCGGCGTCGTCGTTCTTGACTTGACTTTCCCTCGCTTCATCTTGAATGGATTTTGTTTAGTGCGGTTCGATCCGGAGATGATTGCGTGATGGGGTGATAATGAGATCGGAATCTGAAGGTAAAAGCTTTTATTAAGACTCGTCGATATTACAGTAATATAGGTAAATTATATTACAAATGGCCCCACGTTGGGCGCCAAATGTGTTATTTTATAAGTCTTCATTTCGGTTACCCTTATCTGAAACCGTTTAGCAATGTCACATTAAATCATCGAGCACTTGAAATTGGCCCCACGATGGGCGCCAATTAAATGGTTGCTTACCTAATGTCTTATATTATATACAAATGACTTAAAACTGCTTATGCGTGTCACGTTGCCATCTCTGGGCAGGCGACGTGCTTCGGGTCCGTGCTCGGTGAGTGCCTGTTGGGTATTTGCACATTTTAACGGATTTAATATGAAAATTAACAGCAGCACACAGGCAAACGAACCACCACCCTCACACACGCATTACTTAATTGTGCATGAGTGTGGGAGTTTGAGTAATTTGCGTTCATAATAATGAATCCTTGTGCCTGTTGACGCAAGTCGCAGTCGAAATAAGGATATGAGGGCAATATAGAGGGGGGCTGAGCTGTAGCTGTATACGAGTATGTAGAGGGAAAGTACAGGCAGTAACAGCTGCACTTAGTTGAAAAAGTTCTTAAAATAGCAATAGCAAGCTAACCCCGCACCCTAATACACATGTGCCACCCCGTTCTGCACACACAAGTTAAACAATTATTCAAGACGTGACTTTTTGGCATTTAAATATTTATGCGCACACGTTTTAGCAACATTCGCCAAAGAACAAGAAGCAGAATATCAGTAATGGCACAGCGCAGCACAGGAATGACAAGTATAACTTTGGCTCACTTCTTTTGCGGTCTACTAAATTTATGAAATTTGCCTAATTTGAAGGTAGAAAGAGTGATGTAGTTGTATGCTCTTAAAAGTACATAGAAAAATTGGGAATTTATTAGAATTTCGTTTGAAGATCTCTGATCTTCTGGAAAAATAGGTAGTACTTTATAGTTATTCGCCAAGAATAGAAATGGGATCTTCCCTTTCTCTCTCTCTGTCTTTCATTCCCATTTCACTGCCACACTTCCCTTGCTTTCCGCATGTTGAACTATGTAAATTGCTGCACTTCATTTGCCTGTCAACTGCTGCACTTTGCCTCCCCTTGAGTTCCTACTGAAGATTTGCCATTTGCTGTTTTTGGTTCCCATGCAGTCGAGTACAACAAACGACGCGCCGTCGTCGCCTAAGCAACATAATTTAAGCATTTCCCGAAACGAAAACAAAGATTTTTATCAAGTCTTCCGGCAGCGTGAGAAGGGTAGAAAAACGGGGGGGGTTTAAACGGGCTTGTGGGTGGCAAAAGTCGCACGCAGCCGCAGATTTATGCGTTCAGTCAGCTAAAATCAAGGGAAAACAATAAGAGGAAGCAGTGGCAGCAGAAGCAGCCAAAGAGGAAAAACCAAAAGGGCTTAAGAAAAATACACTCGTTCTGTTCAGGAATTTATCAGCTAAACTTTGGCTGATCTGATTTTTAGCAGCAAAATATATCAAGTCTATTATAAATGTAAACTCCGTATATTTAAATCAAATATTTCATTATTTGATTTCATATCTAATAAGTACTTTTTGGTATTTCACCAAATTAGTGTTATTTCAAAAGCTCTTACCCCGAATAATGGTCTGTATTTGCCCAGTGGTCATTAAGGGGTTAATCATCATCCCAGATCCGCTGGGATTTAAGCGTTGCTTTGTTACTCAGCTTATGCATTCATATTTTTTTTTTGCGTTTCGGGCCAACAAAATACCAGTTCAATGCACTGGGGAATGTGGAAGTGGAACAGAACTGTTTACGTGGAATTAAAGCCCCCGATGCGGTCACTTTTTGTGGGTGGCGGTGGAGGGCATTCCGTTCACGCGAAACGCGCGTTAAATGCTTTCTGGTTTTCCTCTTTCGCCTTTTTCCCACCACCTCCCCTCGCCCGTCAATTAATGTGAAAGTAAAAGCGAGACACGCTCAAACATGCAAATCCCGATGGCCGCTAATGGCGCCCAATGTGTTGGGCATCTTGGCCCATATAAGCGCAAAAAACTGACACGACATGTCCCTTTACTTGTCGAACATGAGCAGAATATGCATAACGCAAAGCGAAAACAACAAGAACAAACAGGATCCAACAACAACAGGTGGCAAAAGTACAAAATGCACAGTGTCCTGAACTTTTAAATTTTATATTTATTCTCTAAAAACCTGAATGCTTTTCAAAACACTTTTAAAGGTGTCCAAAAGTATGCCATGGAAAAATACCATTGTCTTTCAAAATGAATTTATGGGATTTTTTAGAAATAAAATATATTACTGCATTCTTTTAGGCACCTTTAGAAAAGATTTCCAAAC